CGAGAGCAAGACCTCCCTGCCAAGCCCGCACGTGTGTTGGGTTAAACCTGAAGGCGGTGACAATAAAACAGAGCTTAAATAGCGACAGACTCCGCACCACGCTCCCCGCTCCGCTCCTGCGCCGCGCCGTCCCGCTGCTGCGGCTGCGCTTTGCTCGGGCTCCTGTGGATTTTATGCCTAAGTTGTGCCACTGCAGAGCTGGCTCTGCTGGAAGAGGTGATTTCTCTCTCCTCTCTCTGCTCACAGTTTTGGCGGGCAGCGGGCAGGTATGTGAGGGGAAAGAGGGGTCCCCTTCTCGGGGTGGGCAGTGGGTCTCTTCTGATCCCCCATCTGCTGTCTACGCCTGGCCTGGGGACCACTGCCTGTGAGGGGAAAGAGGGGTCCCCTTCTCGGGGTGGGCAGTGGGTCTCTTCTGATCCCCCATCAAGTGTGCGGGTGATTACTGTCCTCTGGTGGGAAGTGCTCCCTGTGCCGCTGGCCCCGGGAAGTCCTCGAGCACCTTTGCTGAGTACCAGCACGCAACGATGTCTTATTAACGGTGAAGGGTCCTTCCTCCTCCCCGGCATGGAAGGAGCCAAGAGGTTGCCCCTGCGGCAGCGGCCGTGGCCTTCCGGCTCCCGTTGCCTTCCCAACGTTCACCAGTGCAGCCAGGCTGACTCCCTCAGGAGGTCCCCATCCAGCCTCTGCCCAGGGCAGGATGGGTGCCAGCACTAGATTTAAGGTGACCACGGCTTCGTGCAGCCAAGACTTGAAAAACGTCGATGGCGGCAGTAGCAATGAAAGCTAAGGATTCTCCCTGTGGCCAAATTCAGGAGGAGGGGAGGTGTCTGCTAGCGGGGTTATGGCTCAAAAATCAAGTAAGAGAGACTATTTCGGAGGTGAAAAAGAAAATGGAAGCAGCACAGGTTAATTTGGAGATGTTTGAATGAAACGTGCTCTCAAGGGTTTGGAGGGAGCGAGCTGTGCATACAGCCTCTCGGTCTGCACAATCGTCCCAGGAAGGGGCAGGGTTAAGGTGAAGCGTGCAGCACGGGCTGGCCATATACTTTAACTGCAATTTTCCAGCATTTCTGGTGCTTAGGGTGGTGTTTAGGTTGCTGAAGGAGGTGTGAGTCTATGTCCACCTGAGGTCTTTCCCTTGCTCCGGCCTCCCAGAGCAGCCAGTCAGCTGCATTTACTGGTTGGGGGAACTCTTAGGAGAGAGGACTGTGGAGGTGCTACAGCATCTCTGTGACTGGGTGTAGTGGACGAGGTGAGATATAAAGAGACAGTTAAATATATCAGATCATCTAGCTGCCAAGGGGCTCACGTGTGGCAACGGACTGAATATAGTCGGGCCAGGTCAGAGCTGCTCTCCCTCTGGGGTTATTTGCAAAGATACTGCTTCAGCGGGCTGCCTTTTCTCTCCCTTTTTGCAAAGGCCTGAGGTTGATTTCTGTTAAGTGTGTGGATTTGTTCTCCTGCTCCTGTGGGTGTTGCCATGAGCTCAGGCTGCTTGAATCACGATGCTGTGCGGGACATCCATTACCCGGGGACAGGAATGATCCTCCTGGATGTTCCTGAAGGTGCACACGTCAGGCAAGAAAGAAACGGCCTCCCTGCATGACTTAGGGGATGCGCAAGGGAGATCCTGCACCCGGCCATCACAGGAGGCCAGGACTACAGGGAACTAGAGATGGTGTATTCACAGAGATGCTTCTTCTTTCCACGTGGTGCCTTCCTGCCTCTCAGAGACTGTTTATTTCTGGTTCTTTCTACAGCTCTGTGTTTTGCTGCTCCCCCCAAGACAAGCGTCAGATGGTGCACAATATCCTTAGCAGAAGAGAACAAATGCCATAGCCTAAGGGACCTCATGCAACAAGAGGGTGTTTCATTGACTTGCCTGCAGAAACCAACGTACCTCGACTGCATAAAAGCCATATCGGTGAGTGGGCAGCAAGTATCTGTGCTGGGCACTGAGGATGTTTCAGCAGCCTGGAGAAGATTGGGGTTTCCTTTGAGTCACTGGTCGTGACCTGTGATTCCCCTGCAGAGAAGGACTCATGCACAAGGATCCGGGGGAAGCTCCAGGGAAGCGTTTTTTCCCTCATGCATCCCTGCTCTTTGTTTATTGACCGAAATCTTTTTGTTGTTTAGAATAATGAAGCAGATGCCATTAGCTTGGATGGTGGTCAAGTTTTTGAGGCAGGCCTTGCCCCGTACAAGCTGAAGCCCATTGCTGCTGAGGTCTACGAACAAAGTGGAGGTACATTTTCATGCAATATTTTTAAGCCAAGCGGTGTTAACAAACCAATAGCGCAAAGGCCATCCTTTCCACGCAGAGCTCCCACATTACTTCTGTTGGGTGTCTGAGATATTGCTCCTGGCTTCCAAATCCCAGAAGGGAAGGGCCTGGGGGCAGTTACATCAAAATGTGAATCATCACCCACGGCCATAGAGTCACTGCAATGGGAAGGGGCAGAGCCAGTGCCCGTTTCTGACGTTAGCTGCGATGAAAGTCACTGATCCTGTGACGATGCAGTGGCCCTGGAAGGAGAGCACCATGAGCAGAAATCACGGTCATCCCGAAGCATGGCATAAAAATTGCGTAGGTCCCAGAGATCTGCTTTCAATGACCTTCAGCTACCCAGGTAGAACACTGAGGTAGGTAGCACAGATAACCTGTGTATCTTCCTGTGAAGTCATCAAGACAAAAAAAAAAAAAAGATTGAAGAGGCAGCAGCTTTGCCATTAGTGGTTGTGGAGGAACACCCAGTTGAGATTACTGAGGCAAGAGGTGCAGGCAGTGCACAGAAAAAAGAAGAAAAGCATAAAAACTGCTCTGCAGCAATCCCTTCTGATAAGAGTGAGCTGTGTTGCTCCATCCTTGCTCACCTTCTATACTGTCCTTCATCTCTCCCATCTTTCTCTTGGGAGCCCAACAGATGCTGTTTCTCCATTTTTGTCTTTCTTGCCTCATGCAATCCCACCGAGTCCAAAGCTCCCATTTTCTTTTGACCTCTGCTCTGGAGTTCAGCCTGTTTGTACACAACATTCAGGATCAAAGCAACACAGCAGAGTCATTCCCAACACAGTAGCTAAGACGTTAAATGGAAGGCTGTGGTCTCTACCACCGCTCAGACTAAGTCACTGTATACATGCATAGCATGTGGTGGACTAGGTATAATTCTAAAGACTAAATGTGGAATTTCATTCTTGCAAGGCTTACATACATGCTTCAGTGGGCAACAGCATTTGAGAAAAGACTTGCCAAAGAAGATTTGCCAAAAAGACTTGCTGAAACACCCTTACAAAACTATGGGAACATCTAATGTCTGTCCAGTGGCAAAGCATTTTGTGTGTGATGATAGTTTTTTCAGGTCACTTACCATTACACGTTACAATGCACAGGGTTGGTTCGATGTTGGCAGTGTAGCTCACCCCAAAGAAAATGGGAAAACCATGAGTGTTCAAGCAAAATTTCTAGTTATTTGGAAGTGCAGCACTTTATTGGCCGAAATTGGGGGTTTGGCAGGATTTGAAATGTTCCCAAGTCCTGCTTTCTCATTGCTTTCCTGCTTTTTCCTGCGCTGCAGGTTCCACAACCAGCTACTACGCCGTGGCTGTCGTGAAGAAAGGAACGGACTTCACAATAAAAAACTTGCGGGGCAAGACCTCCTGCCACACAGGCCTGGGCAGGTCTGCCGGATGGAACATCCCCATTGGGACGCTCCTCCACCGGGAAGACATCAAGTGGGATGGCAAAGACTCAGCCTCCATCGAGCAAGGTGAGGTGGAAAGGGCGAGACAAAGGGGCTGATGTTAAGCCAGGGGCGGTGGCACAGTGAAGGCGATGTTGCCCGATCTTCTGCGGAGGTCCAGAGGTGGCTCACAGAGCAAGTCGAGCCACTGACACTCTTTATGCATCCCATACCTTCCAGGTCCTTGTAAAAGTGAATTCTAGACTAACTATTGCTTCTTTCTCATCCGCAGCGGTGGCCAATTTTTTCTCTGCCAGCTGTGTGCCTGGTGCCACCACCGAACAAAAACTGTGCCGTCAGTGCAAGGGGGACTCCAAAACCAAATGCTCCCGCACAGCACCTTATTCTGGATATTCTGGGGCTTTTCAGTGAGTGAGAGTTGTTTTTCCTTCGGGGAAATATTCCAGCCCTGACACATGCAAGTTTTCGTTGTATCGGGGAGGCTGTGTTGTTGTCACGGGTCCTGAGGAGACTGAATTTATAGAAGAACTGGGAGTGCTTGTAATTAAGGAACCAGTTAGTGATAACTGGCTGGCAACTAGCGGGAGGCAGCTGGGTCGCATGGTTTTGCACAGACTTAAGAATACACAGCATTAGCGTTGTGCCAAGTCTAACTGGGCTTCTTGAGCGTTACTTCTCTGCCGTTACATTTTCTTCCCTGCCAACATAGCTTTTTTTTTAGGGAAGACTGCTGCTCTATGGTTGGAGTTTATGCCAAAGTCATTTGCTGAAACAGGAGACAGGGAGCCACAATGCCTGTTTCTTTTAACATCTCTTCTGTTCCTCCCACCTGCAGCTGTCTGAAAGACGGAAAAGGGGACGTGGCCTTTGTGAAACACACAACTGTTCAAGGTAGGCCTGCAAGAGATCTTTCTCTCCTTTCCAGTCCAACCTCTTGCTGCCGCTCCATCCTGCAATTAGTCTGCACCATGCAGACTTTCATTCCGCTCCAGATTTGCCCCAAACTTCTTCTTTCATCTCTAGAAACATGTTTTGCACCCTGTAGGGCTCACTCATCCTTGTTCCTGAAAAATACGGTTGTGGTGGGGGCCACTTTAGGGTCCTTCTTTGAAGAAGGAAAACCAGCTTGATTTAAGTCCAATGGTCTTATCATTGGTGCTGTAACTTAGAGCCAGCTGTAACATTATCACAGCAAATGCAGGGTGAGCAACTGTGTAGGTCATTACGCTCACCCATCCCTCTGGGAGGGATTTTGGAGGGAATTCAGCCCACAGCTGAATTAGAGAATTAGAATCAGAGAGTTCACTAACTCTGCACCTCTTGGAGACTGAAGATTTCCAGGACCTGCGGTGAGCTCGGTGGAGGGCCACCAAGATGGTCATGGGGCAGGGACACTTGTCCTGCAAGGAGATGCTCAGGGGGGTGTAGATATGGCTTAGGGGGGACCTCAGAGCAGCCTACCTCTGCCTCCAAGGAGGTTAGCCAGAAGGTGGAGCCAAGATCTTTATGGAGGCAGACAGTGGAAAGACAAGAAACAATAACCATAAACTGAAACAAGAGAGGTCTGGATATAAGAAGAAATTTTTTTCCCCTTGAGGACAGTCAAGTAGTGGGACAGGTTGCCCAGGACAGCTGTGCACTCTCCATCCTTGGAGGTTTTCAAGTGCCACCTGCAGCAACCTGGATGTGTTGGACACCTTCAGAGGTCCCTTCCCACCCGAATTCTCCTGTAACCCTGTGACCTCTGACCTGGGCTCTGTTTTCAGCCTTGACACTACTGGCCTTCACAGACCGCCTGCGGCTCCTGACCTCTTCAATCCATTTGTACGGTGTTTGTAAATCTATTTGTATTCGTATCTATTTGTACACGCCTGATGTCTAGGCGCTACTGCCACATAAACCCTCTTACTGTCAGGTTAGTTATGGCAGAGGCAGAGATAAATCTCTCTTTCACGGGCACTGCCTTCATATGGCCACGACGACCCCAATACCGTCGCAAGGCGGGTGCGTGCAACCCATCTTCTTCCCTCATCTCCCGGGAATTCTCCCCTGAGCTTCTGCAGAAATAAATTCATTACCAAGCTGTCCCAGAATGGCTTGTCTGTCTATTTTCATGGTGATGCAGCTCATGGTTCCCTCCTTTCCTCCAGAAAATGCCCCGGAGGAGAAGGATGAGTACGAACTGCTGTGTCTGGATGGCAGCCGCCAGTCCGTGGACAACTACAAAGCCTGTCACTGGGCCAGGGTGCCTGCTCACGCTGTTGTGGCTCGAGACGATAGCAAGGTTGATGACATCTGGAGCTTCCTCTCAAAAGCACAGGTATCGTCAAGCTCTTCTTTCCTTCCCCTTGCATCCCTTCTTCTGTCCCCTGGCTTCGCTTGCTCTCTCCAGCTTTCCAGGTGCTTTCATCATCTGCTGATTATTTTTCTCTCGCGGCAGGAAAAGTTTGGCGTGGGCACAACCAGCACCTTCCAGCTCTTCGGGCCACCTGGCAAGAAGGACCCAAGCCTGAAAGACTTGCTTTTCAAAGACTCCGCTATACAGCTGAAGCGTATCCCACCACTGATGGATTCCCAGCTCTACCTGGGCTTTGAGTATTACAGTGCCATCCAGAGCCTTCAGAAAGGTAGGCAGGACATGAAATACTAAATGTCGTGTCCGTATGAGATGCACTGAAGAGGTGGAATCAGCATATACGTCTGGGGAAAGGAACACAATTTTTTCACAGACAGACAGTATTCTCTGCAAAATATTTACTGGGAAAGGTATTCTACCTAAAAATCACACGATCTTCACAGACTTCACTTACATCAACAAAAGGAATTTGTTGACGCCAAAGTCAAAAAAACATCATCACCACACTGACAAAGGTGGAAAATTTACACGCACCCCACCCCTCGTCCTTTCACCACGATTACAGCAACAAAAATCGCCCACAGTTATTCTGCCGGTGGTAGGGATCGGGGCGTGGTCCAAAATGCTGCTTTAGAAAAGCCATTTCTGGGGCGTAAGAGGAAGGAACATCCCAGGACACCACCTCCAGTATTGGCCACTTGAGGAAAACAGTGTCCTTTATTTCCGTCTAGACTCATCAAGCATTTACTGATGTCCTAGCTGGCTTTCTGAGAGCCAAATGGCCCCCAAAATCCACCTAAAATGTATAGCTGCTCAGAGATCTCTGCGGTAGCCTCAGCCGCTATGGCATAAGGGAAGGGGGTGCATGGACTTCACGTAGCGTCAGAACAGATTGTTCAAATGCCACTTCACAGAAACATAACTAGGTTGCATTCTTACAGCTCGGTCTGGTCTTAGTCTCATGGTTGTCCGGACCGCGAGGTCCGGAGAAATGCGGAATATGTTATAGGTGGCAATATCAAGCACTATTAGGTTTAGTGGTTGCGATGTTTTTAGCTAACACGATTCTGCGTGAACAGCTGGTGTTCGGCAGAAATTCTCCTTCCTGACCTGTAAGTTGATTTTTGAGTATCCTTCAGCTTAAGAATCGCCTCCTCCGCTCACGCCAGCCCGGGGCTTTTCAAACGAGAGCCTCTTGCACGGGGCAGCAGCAGGTCGGTGTGTACCGGTGGTCTCAAGGCTGAGCCCTACGCACCCCGAAAGCAGCTGGCTTGCAGCCTTGTTGTTCGGCGGGGCTCTGGGCTTATCCCTTTTTGTCCTCTGCCGGTTTTCCAGACCAGTTGAACTCCAACCGCAGAGAAAACAAGACACGGTGGTGCGCAGTCGGCAAGAATGAGAAGAGCAAGTGTGACCTCTGGAGTGTGGTGAGCAACGGGGAGGTGGAGTGCACCGTGGCCGAAAACACCAGGGACTGCATTATCAAGATCATGGTACGGCTTTTTTTTCCCTTTTCTTCTCCCTGTGGGCCTTTCAGATGCAGAGCAGCGTTGCTTCTTTCAGCCTGGGAATAGATGGGGTGGAGGGCGGGGCGGGGGGAGCAGACTTTAAAATAAAAT